TAACAAATATACTGTGTTGCGGGAGCACGGAATAAGGGTTGACTTCCAAGATTTATCAAGTTTATTGATAATTATTTCTTTCTGTTATGAGTATAAATTAAATTGCAAAGAACAGTTACATAATTTTACTATCTAGGAAGGAAATTCAAGAAGCTGATGTCATTTATATTGACTTTTATGACAGAAGACTGGAAGGAGAAAGAAGAGTGACTTGCTTGGTAGATAATGTCAGTGGAAAAGGGCTGAGTCTTTGGCATAAATATGAATACTCAGACAGCATTTATACGGAAGTTCATTTGTTAAACTCATTTATTTGAAAGAGCTTGTATTTTAATTGAAAGCATAATAGCTTGATGCATCAGGTCCAATGCTCCCAGCAGGACTTTGTGTAGAGAGCTATGTCCTATTTCTTTGTGCTTCATGTAGTAGGACTACACTGTCTTCCAGGAAGAAAAGACACTCAATGGAACATATATCCAGCTGTGCACAAACAATTCCTATCTAAAGTCACAAATCTTATTTAGCAGTAAATAACTCATTTGCATACATTTGAGGTTTGTCACTCTGTTGTTTAGTTGGATGTTATTTTGGATTTCCCTTCACTAAACAGCATACACTTTTTTGTCAACCTATGCACATTTTTTGTTTTATTTTACAAGTTTCATTTTTTATTTTTGGTTCTTTTCTTTTTGCATAATTGACAATGCAATTTACTGCATGTGTGCTTTCTGCACCTTAGACAACTATATTAAGATGTAATCACCTAACTTTCCAGTTCAGACTGTTAAAAAAAAAATCATTGTGACTAATTGCCAATTAATTTGTAGTAGTTAAAGGTAGGGGCGGGGCCAGAATAATTGCACCTACTAATTAAAATTTAAAATATTCCAAAGTGTCATCCTTAGGTGTCTAGAATACATAATTTCCATTTTGGTTCAGTGCTGGGTCCTGTAACAAACCTGATCTTGACAGCTTTATTAATTTAAAGGCTCAGCAATATCTATTAGTATAAAACATGAAAAAATGTCATTAATCATTTATTTTAATTTTGCAGCTCTGTCATTTTCTCAGTATGTTTAAAAATTATGATGACACCACCATGTTTTCCAATTTACCTGTGTGAAGGGGAAATGGATCACACTATTTAGGGGTGATACTAGACTAAATTATTAAAGCTTAATTAATGCCAAACTAATTATATTTAATTTCAGTTGGTGCAATGATATTGGCAAGAAATTGTTTAATTTTTTAAATGATATTCTGTGGTGGATCTCTGGCAAGGAGAATATCTCTTATAAGAAATAGAATGTAAACAATGACAGGAATGGTAGTATAATTTAAAAACTTACAAATCCTCCTAAACTTGTTTTATATTTAATAGGTCTGAGTTGCAGGTGTGCATGTGAAATTAGTCTTTTCAAGTCACTAAAGCCACCCCATGTTTTTCTAGACTTGCTTGCGTGGACAACAGAAAGAAAGTTCCAGAAGAGATCTGAAAACTGAGAAAGACAGGATTGTGTTTAATTATTTGAAAAGAGTTACTTTTATGGGCTCCTGTGCATTATCAACCCACAGTTATTGTTCCTCTGTAGTTTTAAGCTCCTGAGTCTTTACAATCTTCAAAAATTACCTTCAAAAAGTGAACACTTTCTGCAGCAGAGTCATGTCCTTGATAGCATTTTATATAGGTCTCCAAGCTCATCTTTTCTTGCAATTTTGTTTGTTTCCTTGGTTGGTTGTTAAGCTTTTTTAAGTCTTTCAAATTTGTCCTCCATAGAAAGCAAAGCAATAGTGTTTCCAATGGCAGCAATAACTGACTCTTTAGGATAGGCCAAAAAATCCGAGTTGGCCTTCAGTGACCCAGTTTGTTTAGTACTCAAATGAAAGGAAACAGGCTATTTTCTCCATTAATGATAGCCTTAGTGCCTCAGCATTTTTTCCTTTACTGTTTCCTATCATTGTCACTGCATTGCTCAATCCAGATGTCATTCTGAAAAAAAATAATAAAAACCATCTATTGTCTGGCTTCATTGATAATATAAAGGCACAATTTGTTCAATAAACTAAAACTGCTCTATGGATAATTTTCTAAATGCCACCAAAATACAAGATATAAGAAGCAGAATCCAAAGAAGTATGTTACATTATTTGTAATACATTAATGGAAAATACTTACATTATTAAACAACTTCAAATATTTCTTAAATATTTCTTCTCTGCAAGTTTTAACAGGACTTTTAAAATACATTTCTATTAGGGTATGAAGATTAACAGAGCTAAAATGACCCAATACAAGTTTTTGTCCTTCAAAATCTCCCAAACTTTCAAAAATACTTAAATAGGGGGAAAAAAAACCCACCACCACTCTGGATAGTTATAAAAATGTGCTTTTGCATCATGGGCTATATGAAGCCATAAACTGTAGTCTGTAATCTCTTGATCTATAATTTGAACAGAAACTAAGAAAGTGAAAACTTCCAAGCATTAAAGAAAAGAAATTCTGCAGGTCATTAGACCTAAGCTAGGTTAGAATGCTGTTTTGAATATGTGAATTATGAATTTGTCAATATAGAATTCATTCCAACATATAAGAGGAGATCTACAGATATGCCATTTCATATCTAATAGTGTCCTTTAGAGTAGGCAGTTAATGGATGAGTTCACTCATGCTTTAAAATATATACAGGTAAGGTGGAGTTTTAGGACATGATCAGCATCTAAATATAACTACATCAAAAATAAGGGTACATATCACATAAACATCAGTTCTCATATTAAGGTCTTTCTCACATACATGGTTTGTTTTGCCAGGCTTGTAGGAAGAACTGTTAACTATAATTCTCCTTTCAATTTTTTTTACTGGACTGGGGAAAAGAAGTGATTTCGTTTTTTCTTTCAAATAATTCACATTACAATTTTACTGCAGAAATGTATCAAGGATAGCTTTCCATGTAGCCTTTTCACAACTTCATGTATATATGCACAAGTGCGCATGCGCACACATACACACACACATACACACACACACATGAGCTTTAAAGAAGAAAAAGAATTTTTGGCCAAAATGCATACATAAATGCAATTTTAGGAGAAATACATAGGAAAACCCACACAATTTTTCATGAACATTTCTTTAAAAGCTACAGTTGAATTAAAACAAGTTAAGATTAGGAAAAAAGAGAAAGTAAAATTGATCATTTATTAAACATAGAACTCCATGTATGTTCTATATGTTAGTTTGGGAAATAAGTGTGTGTGTGTGTGCGCGCGCGCACACGTGCGTGCATATCTTTGATTGCAAATTTTCATCCAAGAAATAGTCTTTCTTCTGTTTTAATGAGCCTCTCCTCTTAGTGTACTTTTTTGTTATTTGGTACTGCTATTAGTGAATGACAAGTGAAGGATATTCATTTTGGCTTGAAAATGTCAGGTATGCACTTTAAGAGATATATTTTTGCCAGTTTTAATGAGTCGGTGTTTCTTTTTCAAAGAAATACTTATCTCTGATGGGGGTGCTGTGTAGATGACAACTGATATTTAATAAGTGATAGCTCTTGTATTAGCAGTAGTTCACTAAAGAAAATGTCTCAAATAGCTTTTGAAAAACTGTAAGCCTCACTGGCCCAAAGGCAAGATGTGACCTTTTTATTACATAATGAGAATCATTTATTATCTCACAATGTATCTTAAAGTCACAGACAAAATGCCACTTTGATAATTGCTTTCAATTAGCTTTGAGCATAGCATACATTCATAAAATGTCTTCTCTAATTTAGAGTTGAATTAGAGAAAATTGGAGACATAATCTACACGAGGGTTGTCTCATTTAAGGTGATTTCTGGTTTTATATCAAAGAAATCAAAATAGGTAGTTATGAAGTAATCTTTCATAGGGTTTTAAACAGGTTTTTCATATTTGATTTGATTTTACTACCAATTAATTAACAAATTAGAATGCTACTTAATCATTTTTGACCTTTTTAATATGCCAGACTTCAACTTCAAGTCCTAGTGGTTATTTTCAAATTTAGCATGGAAGTTCATGTTAACCGCAATGGACCCAGAAGTATAAATAAGAAATTGTGATATAATTGAGTGCCAATTTTTTATATATAATGGATACAACATTCATTATTATCTTAATCCAGCAAGAGCAAAATAGAGTAGAACCAGCTTCTACCTCTTTTTTGTCAAATAAGGGTTACAACAGACCACACTGGAGAGAAATATCCTAACCAAGGGGAGGTTAAATTTGGAACATGGATCAGTTACTGTATTGAGATTCATATCCAACAGCTCTATTCTGAATATGTATATAGTTGCAAGCACATACTTTTTCTATGCTATTTATAATTCCTTGGATCCAATATATATTGAATTCTGTTTTATCCTATAAATTGGAGCAGTTGCCTATATAATTGGAATTTTACATTATAAATGAGATTCCACCAAGTTGGCAGGATGACTATTATATGCAGGGAATACCGTGGCTTGTTTTTCCCCAATATTCTTTTTGCCTACCACATATCTGGTCTTTTATGCAAAATATATATTTTATCTGATGCTTATTGTTACTGTGTTTCATATGTGTTTTCTTATATTTCATGATACTGTGACTTTAAAATATTCTAAAGCAAATGTAAGTAGACACTAGGAGGATGAGGTAGTGACTTCAATGTAATTGATATGATTATGTTAATCTTTCATTTGAATATTGGTCTAATCAATTATCAACTTTAAAAAAAATTGTATTCACTTGCTCTATGTTCTATTGCAGGGGTTTTCAAACTTGACAGCTTTAAGACTTGTGGACTTCAGTTCCCAGAATTCCTCCTCCAGTTATGTTAGTGCAGGAATTCTGGGAGTTGGAAGTCCACAAGTCTTAAACTTGCCAGGTTTGTAGACCTTTTTCTATTGGAACATGTTTAAAAGTTAGGAAATGAAAGCTTAAAATTATCTTGTGACAGATGATATAATTATAACTGTTTTCTTTTTCACCAGATAAAAATTACCCACAAGAATCAAGCTCCAGTTCTGATGGGGCCTCCTCCGAAAACTGGTTTCTTCTCTTCCATCATTAAAAGAACAAGGAACTACAGCAAAGAGTAGTTCAAATCTTTCAAAATCAAATGAGCAGGGATGTAGACTGGAAATCTTTCAAGGGTTTTTAAAATATTCTCTACTGCATAATCATAGAAGCAGGAATAACAGTTGCTCTGACAGAATTAATGTAAAATGATGCTATTAGAATAATTTGTTGCCACAGTTTTGTAGGCATTTTGCATGAAGAAAGCTAATGTTTACATAAACTGATAAACCATATTTTTGTTGCATGCATTACAGTCACTAATTTACAATATAAATACACTATGAATGGGGGTGGGGAAAATGCAACAATGTTAGAAATGTGATTTTCATACAATATGATCTTCAACCTGCTTGCTCCAGTGTTTAGATGAGATATTTAATTCCTTGGACCTCTTCAGGCCTTTATTGAGGAAAATATAGAGAGATTTATTATAGGCTTACTGCTTACAAATAAATAACACTTCATCAGTTGTCTCTCTTAAATAGAAGTAGTCCAGATTAGTGTGAATCCAATTCATTTCAAGACTGAAATATGAAAAATGCATTTATTTTTCTGTGTTCAACTTCACTCAGAAACATATTTAATAGATAATACATCCCATTATCCACATGAGGATTAACTTTCACATAAGCATGTTTAGGATTATGTTGTTTATATTTACCATTGTTATAACATTCATAAACATTCCCACCAAAATGTAGGTATAAGAATGGATTTTAAATAAATGTTGCTAACCTTTTTCTGGAATAATGAGCTATTTCACAAAGTACAGAAGAAACCCTAAATTTATCTAGTGCTGGTTGAACCTGAATGTTCACTCATTCTTGTCTCTCCAATAAATATAATTATTTGATTCCTTTGTTTTCAAACAATTATCACAGTCACATCTCATTATATTCTATAAATGGAATATGCAAAAATTAGCTAGCGATGTTTGATCTCTTGATGTCAGTTTTAAATATTCTCCAGTGCACCAGATATAGTTACAAATAAGCAAATAATATGCCTAATAAACAACATTTCTCTTTCTATCAATCAATATAGTAAGTATATGATGAATTTGATTAATGGATACATAATCCATTTTCTGGATAAGCTTCATTTTTCCAATCTCTTAATTACAATTAGCATATGTAAGTAACTGTGCAAGAACAGGGCCTGAAATTCACAATAATCATAGAGGTTCACAACTTTGTGTAATTATTTAAATCTCATCGATGAAAGATTACTAGCTCTTGTTAGGCACAGGGTACTAATATATGGATAGACCACAGTTATTGTGGTATTTTATGTAGTATAAAGTAAGGAAATCATTCACTGAAGAGCTTCGCTATATCCAGCAGCTTCTGTAGTTGATGCAAGCCCTTGTTCTATATATGTCCTTGTGGGACAGAGTTATGTCTTAATGCTGTTTTCATTCTTCTGATGGGAGCAGTAAGAACAAGCTACAAATGGAGAGAGTAAATATTAACCATATCAATCACAACAGGGGTGTCATCTTAAAATTTTTCTCGTTTCCTGGGACCCCAGGCCTAGTAACATAACCTAGTCTTACAAACTTATAAACATCACCTTAGAATAATATATTTTCTAAGTATCTATCTTTCACAAGTATACAAGAGATTCTGGGTTTGGAAAATTCTTAAGCCAATTTTAATTCTTAAAGAAGTTAAAGAAGATTGTGACAGCTCAGTTCTCCCTCTATCCTATGGTAGTTTTCATATACATAATAGGAAGTGACTGTTTGCAGCCTTTTCCAAGTTTGGGAACTATTCAGAAATTTTGAAATCCATTTTTCTAGAATTCTAAATGGTACAGAAAGCTTGTAATATACTGAGTAAATTTAAGATCAATTGTGGCAAGAAAGCAGGTCAAAATGCTGAGATACAGAAAATTATTTTTGCTATTCTTTTGTATACTAAACAATAGACAACCTTTTACAAGTTCTCCAAACCTTATTAGATTTTGTATTCATTTAACCCTTAAATGTAATAAGATTTTAGTATTCTCTTAGGAGATTGCTAAAATCTTGCAAGAATTGGGATGCTTGTTTTTAATTGAAGGGTTGTGACTGGGCCATCAATGAAGATTGTGCCTTGCCTTTGAAAAAGTTATTACTGTTGTATTGAGATTTAACATATTTAGATCATTGAGCAACATAAAAATTATGTGATAAAGTCTTTCTTGAATCCAATAATTTCTATTAAGGTTGTTCTTTCTCTTTCATGGCCTCTTAAAAATGCATTTAATTGCTTCATGGCTGTAATATACTTTGTGTGATCTTAACAGTACTTCCTCCTGGTGAAGCCCCTCACTGCTTTAGCATTGCAAAAATTTAATATGTATAACAAAGTCTTTGGATTGAATCCAGACTTAATCAGAATAGACACTTTTAAGAGATGGGTCTATTTCAGTGTTATACTCTAAGCACCAGGTAAGTATAGGTGTTTGTGATTTCTTTTTCTCTTCTTTGAGAATTGCTTGAGTTGTATTGTTGCATCTCTTTTCCTCAAACTTGCTACCATAAAAACTTGCTTAAAATGCATGGATTATTAATCTATACCATATATTGCTAATTATCAGTCAAATGTCTTTTCAAGTTGATTCACTTATCTATATGAAATGTATTCACGTAATACACAATATGGTACATATGCTCATGTTACAGAATTTGATTGATTTTATCTGTATGTAATTGAAGATAAATCCAGAGAAGCCATTATTGGTAATGACAAGTACATGAAAATATCCTTAATACTCAGTAAACATTAGCAGAATACCAATTAATATGGTATTCAAGTTGAGAAATAAGATACCTGTCACCAAACATAAGGTTGTAGAGTTTAACAACCATGGGTACTGTGATGTTAACAACTATGCTACATCCATAATAGTGTAACTATTATCATTTTCTTATGAGCTACATGAAAATGTCCATTACATTTAATACAATGCTTATACACTATCTATGCTTCTAGGGTAAATATATCTCATTTAGTATCACATAAATAATGTGTATGTAGATTTTATGAAATTATAGCTACCATAATAAATATTTTCGCATAATGATACAGTTTGGTGCATGATTTTCAACATATTTTGTCAATTTATTTTTCCAAAAAATGTCCAAAGACATACTTTTTTCTTTTACCAAATCTTTGTATTTCTTAAGCATTTGACATATGCTCTTGCTACTATGCAGTTTGCTAAAGAAGCACCTTGGGAAGCTTTGCAGGAGTGATTCATATAAAAGTGTAAGCAGTAACCACAGTGTTTTGATATTTACAGAAAAAACAACACCTGTGTTGACAGTAGACTAGCAAAATTCAATATTTTCTGAGTGCTGCTTTCAAATAAGCACACTTTCATTTACAAAGATTGCCAGATCCTGGAACTGAGATTAGAATATACATGAGATTGTTAAGCATTTCTCAATGTGGTAGATTTCAGATGCTTTGGAACAGCTTTGCTATAATACTTACCAGAAAAGTCATTTGAAAAAGTTGAACTTATCTAACTAGCCAGGGGCATAGACTAAATCAGTGTAAGTTCCTATGTGTCACAGGAGCCTCAGGAAATGCCATTTCTTTTCCATCTTGAAGCAAATACAGATAGTCCTCACTTAATAATTGTAATTTGGACTGGAATTTCCCTTGCTAAGCAGTACAGTTATAAAGAATGATGTTACATGACTGTGGGACTTAGTGATGGACATTCCAACACCACTGGTTGCCATGATCAAGTGAATCACCATAGGTCATTAAACAAGCACATTTCATTCTTGCTTTTGAGACTTCCAACTGGCTTCCCCATTGATTAATTGTAGGAAGCTGGCAAAGGAAGTGGAAGATGATGCTATGATGTAAATGGAAGCCAGGTACCAAGTGTCCAAATCACAATTACATGATTTCAGAGACCACTCTGAGTGCACAGACTGGTTGTAAATGTCACTCATTTACTTCCCTTATATGTTCAAAAAATCATTAAGTGAGTACTGGCTGTATAGCACAGTTGTGAAGGTCTACCCATTTTCTGTATTTTGGACTTTTTAAATGAATCAGTAAAAATCAATATTTAGGATTATGGTAGACAATTGGACATAATCTTTTTTGTTTCATTGGCTCACTTTGAAACATTTTACATGGCAGAGCAAAGAAATCTGATATTGATTGAGGAGAAAAGGTAGAGTTCTTTTTGCCTAATTTTTACGGTGCGGTATTAATTTGAGTGTATAGATTTTTTTCTAGATCAAATGTACCTTATTTTTTTATAAACAGTGCTATTTGCAACTGTAAATAGAAACATAATCTGCTTTTGGAAATTGGATCTAAAAGGAATAAATTCTATCCACTAGACATTATTGGTACCATTATCAAATATTTAGGTGTTCCTTCTCTGGATTCATGTGCTTTCTGACTTGAATTAAAATTTATATCATCTTTATGCAGTAAATTACTGCTGGGTTGAGATGAAAGGGATTATCATAAAACACACTGAAGAAACATCACTTAAGATGAAAGGGATTATCATAAAACACACTGAAGAAACATCACTTAAATTGCTGAAGTACAAAGAAAACATTTTCCCAGTAATCAAATTATTAACCATTCTGGAAAAAAAAAACTTAGAACATTTTAGTTTCCAATTCTGTCTTGGCTTACATGTTGCATGTTACAAAAATTCCAAAATGGAGTACTTATACCATTAGCAAAAGTAATAGCAGCTAGGCTTATCCTAAAGGTACTTTTTTTTCAAGAGGCAACTGGACTTTGTGGTTGCCTCTAGAGGGGAAAAAAACACCTCTGGGACAACCATGAACTGGATGACTGAGAATCTCCATAGACATTTAGGCTTATGTATTGTCCCATAATGTTTTACAACACTCCATGAGAAGTTTACAATGTAGAAGCATTATTTGCATATTACCTCCAACAATGTGGGTCTTTATTTTACTGACCTCGGAAGGATGGAAGGCTGAGTCAACCTTGAACTGATCAGGATCTAACTCATGGCAGTGGGCAGAGTTAGTTGCAATACTGCACTTTTACCATTTCACTGTCAGGGTTCCTCAGAGGATAAGTTCTTATAGATTTTTGTAGATAGAAAAGTCAATTCCTAATAAATTATATATTATGCAGGTAATATACTATAAGACATAATTCAGGAGATCCTTTGTGATCTTTCCAATCTTTTTTCTGAATCAATAAAAGTGTCAGCCTTCCTGGGCAATTAGGAATTTTATTAACAAACCATGTTACTCACTGTCAGCAGGTAAGATAACGATTTATTGCAAATGCATCCCATCCAGATAGGCGACAAGAAAAAGATCTGTATAAAGCCAGTGCTGAGAGCAACTGCCTCTCAGCACCTCTTATC